TCAGTAGTAATTCGATTGAAAGAAAACCTATCTTTGCGCTACCGAAAATAAAATCGCTTTTTGAATGCTTGCAGATTTTTTTCAGATTTAAATTTAATATTTGTGAAGAAAGTATCGACTTGTATATCGAGTTTCCATTTCTGACGATCGAGGTCAAGTGAGTCACGACTGTATACGGGAAGGCTGTTCGTTAACTTCTTGATAATCGATTCGGTAAACTGTTTTAGGCTGGTGACACAGTTAGGTATTAGGATATTTTTTTATTGCTTTGATGGGTGGACGAGCTCGCAGCCCACTTTAAGTTATGTGTTAAGTGGTTACTGGAGCCCATAGACATTTACAACGTAAATGCGCCACCCACCTTGAGATATAAGTTCTAAGGTCTCAGTATAGTTACAACGGCTGCCCCACCCTTTAAACCGAAACGCGTTACTGCTTCACGGCAGAAATAGACAGGGCGGTGGTACCTACCCGTGCGGACTCACAAGAGGTCCTACTACCGGTAAATATACCAGGTATACCTGTAATCTGAAGCGAAGACCGCTGGAGGCACCCCGGATTCAAAGAAATCTGTTGTCCCCGCAGGTTGAATAATTACTTATATCATTTGTGTTACATTTTGTGACTGTCACATAATGACGATTTCTGCCGATTTAGGTGTTCGAGAAAGGGGGTACCCTGAACGTGGAAACCATTATTGATTTTTGGAACAAACTGCTTGGAACATTAATTTTTTAAGCTTCCTATTATTAGATGTATAAAACTTGGTTATGAGTTTTTCCTGATACATTTTAAAGTGACATCTTTTACCTAACAAAAACTGGCAGACCCTAAGTTTTTGTTAAAAATATATGTAAATGTATGCAAAGCGTTTTAAAATTCGTTTTGGCCGTATCAGACTGTAGATACCGCTAACACCCTAGTTATTATTTGATCGTGCACAATTCTGCAATTACAAATCAGTTGACATTTAAATTTATGTGCATCATAATAAAGCCTTGGATGAAAAATGTGAAAAATTTGACGTACAGACGCTAATGAAATGTATCATAAAGGAAGCTTGTGGTGTAATAAAAATATAGACGTGCTAATAACAGTTTTTTATATTATTTGTTACGTTTATTATTTTTATTATTACAATGAAAGCGAAGGAGACCAGACATTAATGATTCCAACCGCCAACCACTATGGATTGTGAAGTCGTTCTCAATGACTAGTAGTAGTTCTAGGATGTATTGCAAGACCACAAGTGTAGCTACTACCATTTTACCAAGGACTAATATCCTGAGCACCTCTATTGGAAATAATCGAGCCGAGGTACACGAAAGTCTTGACGATGTCGTACTGGCCAAGAATATTATTCTCGTTAAGGGTGCCGTATTTATCCACGATCATGATCTTTGTTTTGGACTGGTTGATCTTTAGTCCCATTTCCTCGCTAACTATAACCAGAGCATGATTATCGTCATGTTCACGCATCCTGCACTAGGTTTGCCAATTCGCGGTCTCCCTTCAAGAATATGTGTATCTCAACAGTTATTGGTTATCCGGCTGATATGGCCAGCCCATTGCCACTTTCGCTCCCTAATTCGCTATGCTATGTCGATAACTTTGGTTCTCTATCGGATCTTCGTTCCGAATTCGATTCTTCAGAGAAACTCCAGGCATAGCCCTCTCCATAGCTCACTGAGTGACTTTAAAGCTGTGGACCAGCCCAACTGTGAGGGACCATGTTTCGGCTCTGTACGTCATGACATATAGGACGCACAGAACGAAGACTTTCGTCTTTAGACTCTGTGGTATAGACGATGAAAGTACTGGACGCAATTTCCCAAATGCCGCCCAGGCAAGCTGTATTCTTCTACTGGCCTCGTTCTCGAAGATGTCTTACTCAACTGTAATGTGTGTCCAAGGTACACATGAGCTTGATCATAAGAATAAAAAATCACTAAAGCTTTGCATGTACTTGTTAGTGTTTTTGTAGTTATTAAACTGTACTTTACATATTTTCTTGCATATTAGTTTTTCTATAATCTTCCGAACTTTTAATTTTTTTTTGGGGTCCTTTGATATTCGTATTTGAGTATTTGAGTTCCATACAATGTTTTGTATTTCATAAAATCAATACGTAATCTGGGAACAAATAATACATGGTCATCTGTCTTTAAGCTACGATTCTCTGGTAGCTAAACGTATTTATATAAATTTAACTATATGGATATAAAACACTCCGAGAAAGTGCAACCTAACCTGGTTTTTAAATGAACATTTGTCGGATTTATTAATTGACCCCAAGCTCCTCAACTCAGTAGTCGAAGACACGAACTATTACGCCGTCAAATCAAAATTTCGTTTCCTTAGAAATCATAAAACAGTGCTAGCTTAATGATTAAATTTATAAAAATAATAATTAGTCACATTTTGTACGAATGATTAATACCGTGAAGAATAGCACTTAATTATAATTTACAAAAATGAATTAAATTGTAGAACAGCGGTATCTTGGTAATGAATGACAACGGCTTTTGGAATACAATGTTTTTGTATGTGATATTAAGGTCAAACGGAGATTAATTTTATTAATCTATTCAAGTCAAATTAATCAAATTTGGGGAAGTCTGACAAATCAATTTGGAAAGTTTCAAAATTGTTAATGCAAGGAAAACGGTGAATGCTGTTATGAAGGCATGACGTGGCCCCTGGGTGCTAATGTCTAGCCTATTTCGGTCCAAAGTTTATTTTATTTTATTTTTATTGCTTAGGTGGGTGGACGAGCTAACAGCCCACCTGGTGTTAAGTGGTTACTGGAGCCCATAGACATCTACAACGTAAATGCGCCACCCACCTTGAGATATAAGTTCTAAGGTCTCAAGTATAGTTACAACGGCTGCCTCACCCTTCAAACCGAAACGCATTACTGCTTCACGGCAGAAACAAGCAGGGCGGTGGTACCTACCCGCGCGGACTCACAAGAGGTGATTACGCAAATTATAATTTTTGCGGGTTTGATTTTTATTACACGATGTTATTCCTTCACCGAGGAAGTCAATCGTGAACATTTGTTAAGTACATATTTCATTAGAAAAATTGGTACCCGCCTGCGAGATTCGAACACCGGTGCATCGCTCAACACAAATGCACCGGACCTCTTATCCTTTAGGGCACGACGACTTCTTACGACGACGACGAAGTAATTATACTATCATATTAGGTTCATTAGAATTTGGAACTAGTTACATAGCAGTAGTGAATTAGTGTTTAATTTATTATTTACTTTCGCGGTAGCATAGAATAAAAATAGGAACCAATTTAAAAACCAAACTTCTTTTTTTTTCTCGACGCGTCTTGCTCTCTGCGACTAACAGTCACGGCATCTCTTATGAATTATGATAATACGTGTATTTTTTGTACTGTCGTCAAAATGAAACGAGACAAGGTCAAAACATACAATTCGTCGTTAGAATTCATTGCGAAGAAATACATTGCCACTTTCACTCTAAAACTTGAAGAAGCACGTTAAAGGAATGAGCAATGTAAATTTTATTAAACGATTCATTTTAGAGTATTGAATATTAATAATAGAAAATTCATAAAAAGGACGATTTGTAGTTTTTTTTTTAGCTTATATGGGTGGACGAGCTCACAGACCACCTGGTGTTAAGTGGTTACTGGAGCCCATAGACATCTTTTTTTTTTTCTTTTTTTTCTCCACCTTATCCCACTAGGTGGGGTCGGCACAGCTAATTTTTCTCTTCCATTCTCTTCTATCAGCCATCATCTCAACACTCACTCCTCTCTCTCTCATATCGTCATTCACACACTCCATCCATGTCTTCTTCGGTCGACCTCTTCCCCCTCTACCTTGCACTACCATTTCCATACATCTCCTAGTCACATGCATCTTCTCTCTACGCATCACATGTCCATACCACGCTAACCATATGGAGCCCATAGACATCCACAACGTAAATGCGCCACCCACCTTCAGAATATAAGTTCTAAGGTCTCAAATAAAGTTACAGTTTCATTAACGTTGGAAAAAAAAACTATTGAGCTCGAACAACTGTACCGCAGATCTGCCTGTTTTTATCGGGAAATAATGCATTAATAAATAATCCCTTAAATTTTGCATTTTAACTTTATTTTGCCTTCGTATATACAAGTAGCGTCAGCTATTCAATGAGGATTTAATACCATAATAATATGTCACAAGACGAGCAGTGGTATTCACGTTGTCTATGCGCTTCGATTAGCCCACGTTTGAGATTATTTTTAAAGATTATTCTAGAAAACAAAAATAGTTGATACTATAGGTATTTTTAGTAATACAATGAAGCGAAACTGCGCAATAGAAATGCGTAAAATATATATTTTCCAATTCAAAATAATAATATAATTTATATTGTTTACTTCTTCACTTTGTCCTTTGATACAAGTGTCGCTTATTCATAAACACACTTCGAGTGGTTCTTTATTCTGATATTTTACATAACAGAAAATTCTTTGAAATATATCGTTGTAATATTATGCAATTTAATTGCATAACGTTACTATAAATGTTTTGTTAAAATTACAGCTAAGACATTGTTTCCTCAGGATTCATAAATGTGTTCAGTTGTTCTTAACCTGTTTTATTGGCTTGATCTATGTTTAAATTCTATGTAATGGAGTCTTTTAACATAATAATTAAAAAAATAACTTTTAAGATCTTTTTCTACCGATGGAAAGGAGAGTCATAAAGAGACTTGTCAACAAGTGTGTTAATCGGACAATAACTGTCCGAATTTGCACGTATCAAGGACTCATGTAAATAGTATAAACTTATTACTTTAATTGTTTTAGCTTTACTTCAGTTTTCAATTTAAGTCAAGTTTTTTTTACATTTAACAATTTTTTTTAAATTTGGTTACAATGCGGAAAAAAGTGTAATGTTTATTTTCGACCACAACCCGGTATGTGGAAACATTTTTGTGCTAATTCAATTTTTTGTTTTCTTGCAGGTATCTCAGTGATGAATTGACAGAATGCCCCTTACAGCACTATCTCGGGAAACGCCGCCGGCGTCACCACCCTTACAGGCCGCAACGTTTGAGGAGGTTCTAGCAAAGGTATAAAAAAATTCAGATAGGCATAAAGTATCGTTTATTTTGGTACTGAGTTATGTGATTACGATTTGGTATATACTAGGTATACATCTATTCTGGAGCAGGTATTATATATCTGTTTTTAATTATTATACCGTCTACTGGTCGCAGGGCGTCGTCCATTTTTGCAGTTAAGCAGAAATGCGTTTCGGTTTGAAGGGTGGGGCAGTCGTTATTCTGTAAAACTTAAACTTAGTATTCATGTCTCAAGGTCACCGGTGACCCCTTAACAACAGGTGGCAAATCAATAAATAAAAACAATAATGATAATGAATATGTGAAATTTTCAATCTGAAAATTTGCTATTTATTGGCCCATCTTAAACAACATCACGTGGCGGCACTGTAAACCGCTTTAGAATTATATAAGATAGCCGCGAACTAAAGGCATGATTCCACATGCAGATAATAGAGGAAGAGCCAAGAATCGTGATGTTTATTCGCTACCTAGCATTACGACCTCTATTGTTCTTCTTCGGCGATCCAAAATATAGAACGATCGCAGTTTAGTTCAAAACAGTTTAAACGAAGTCATGATTATTTCGCGGCACATCCGACATTTTATATGTTTTTATACTATAATATTTATAATAACACAATCAGCCAAAATAGTATCATCAGCTACACGTCGATTTGAATTTAAACAAAAACTAATTTGTGACACAACACTAAAACAAGGTATCATTAAAAGATGTAACGATCCCGCTTTTATCTCAAGTTTTTGTCCGTGTCGGACGGACAAGTCATCATGTCAAATTCGTATCGCATCAAGTAAGTTTTTATGACAATAAATAATTATTATAGAGTCTATAATATAGACAGAACAGCAGTGATAAAAAACGTACGAAAACCTTACTTAAGTTTTTTTTTAATTGCTTATATGGGTGGACGAGCTCACAGCCCATCTGGTGTTAAGTAGTTACTGGAGCCCATAGACATTTACAACGTAAATGCGCCACCCACCTTGAGATATAAGTTTTAAAGTCTCAAGTATAGTTAAAACGGCTGCTCCACCCTTCAAACCGAAACACATTATTGCTTCACAGCAGAAATAGGCAGGGTGGTGATATTTACCTGTACGGACTCACAAGAGGTCCTACCACCAGTAAAAACTAATTTAGTGACTAGCAGTCATTCGTCCCGACATAAAGGGGGGATAGTTTAGACAGTATCTAGACTGAAAACCAAGTATAGCTAACGTGAGTACGGAGGTCTAGAGTATTTTACAGGAATATGGAATATAAATTCAATTATAATTTAAAGGATCTTTCAGATTTATTGTATAGATTCGATTATTTTTATTGAGTTACAAGTAGACATTCTTTATAATACAAAATTCGGTAGGCAGCGGCTTGGCTCTGCCCCTGGCAATGCTGAAGTCCATGGGCGACGGTAACCGCTCACCATCAGGTGGGCCGTGCGCTCGTCTTTTTTTTTTATTGCTTAGATGGGTGGACGAGCTCACAGCCCACCTGGTGTTAAGTGGTTACTGGAGCCCATAGACATCTACAACGTAAATGCGCCACCCACCTCGAGATATTAGTTCTAAGGTCTCAGTATAGTTACAACGGCTACCCCATCCTTCGAACCGAAACGCATTACTGCTTCACGGCGGAAATAGGCGGGGTGGTGGTACCTACCCGTGCGGACTCACAAGAGGTCCTACCACCAGTGATTACGCAAATTATAATTTTGCGGGTTTGGTTTTTATTATACGATGTTATTCCTTCAACGTGGAAGTCAATCGTAAACATTTGTTAAGTACGTATTTCATTAGAAAAATTGGTACCCGCCTGCGGGATTCGAACACCTGTGCATCGCTACATACGAATGCACCGGACGTCTTATCCTTTAAGCCACGATGACATCGTCTACCTACAAGAGCAATAAAAAAAATCGATTAGTTCTATTTTAAAATTTACTATTACAATATTTCTTATTCTTTTTTGCCTTTCGCGGTTGAGACGATGGGCCCTTGGGGCCCTGAAGCAAATAAATTTTTAACAGAAATCTCCAAACGCTTGAAGGAGGTTACACATGATGCTAAGGCTGGCTGGTACTTTGCACAGAGAGTGAGTCTGGCTGTCCAACGAGGCAACGTAGCCAGTATCTTGGGGACTGTGCCTCCTTCAAGCGCGTTGGAAGATCTGTTCTNCTTGGGGCCCTGAAGCAAATAAATTTTTAACAGAAATCTCCAAACGCTTGAAGGAGGTTACACATGATGCTAAGGCTGGCTGGTACTTTGCACAGAGAGTGAGTCTGGCTGTCCAACGAGGCAACGTAGCCAGTATCTTGGGGACTGTGCCTCCTTCAAGCGCGTTGGAAGATCTGTTCTACTGTGTGGGTTGAGTTATGTTAAATAATTTTGATTTAACTTTTTGTTAATAAAAAATAAATACAAAAAAAAAAAAAAACTATTACAATATATGTTTACTTGGATCGCGGAATAATAGATATCTAGAGTAAAAATGTGTAATTTTTGTAAAACTCGACTATCAAACTGATAATTATTTGTTTTGATTTTCTATCGAAAATGTCACTAAGTTCTAAAAAAGCGTATATGGTGCTGTTTATTTCGGTAGACCGATTGTGTAACCGAGAGTCATAACGTTAGTAATTAACTGGAATTGCAATGCTAGTACCAAGGTTGCATTTTACGACTGCGATAACTCCTGTTGCTAATGTCATACGGTGCATGTTATATGACTTTGTTCTGTTAACTTAACAAACACGCGAATTCCAGACTCGGTTCACTTTGCTTTTAAAAATCATCAAAGAACTCTTAGTCGGACTCATAACGATACTCACCAGTCAGCGATAGTCTTGAAGAGAAACAAACAGTGTACTATTTTAAATATTTTTACATTAATAATAATCGCTAATATATTATACAATAGTAGCAACTCTGTTTGTTTGTTGTTCGTCAACCGAGATTGTATTTTTCAGATACATTGTTGTTATTTTAAATTTGTTGCTTGTATTGGGCAATAAGCTATTTAAGATGGAATGTGTTTTCTTATGGTTTTTTTTATTAATTCTGAATGAAACGGCCTTTTTACACTTCGATAAAGCGGCACGACACGAGAACCCTCTCATCGTGGCCGCCGGTAACTACATTCCCGATCCCGCAAAAAGAATGGAAAGCAGTCGACGTCGCCCTAAACATGTCATTTCGGATCCTCCCGATCCATTAACGGTGCTTTTAGGTACCTCAAGCACCGGTCACCGTTCTCGTCGAACCCGTCGCTTGTGACGAAGGGCTCAACGAGTAAATTAACCCTCAAACACAGCCCACTGAGTTTCTCGCCGGATCTTCTCAGTGGGTCGCGTTTCCGATCCGGTGGTAGATTCTGCGAAGCACGGCTCTTGCTAGGGTTCGTGTTAGCATCGTCGTCAGGTTTGAGCCCCGTGAGCTCACCTACTAGTGAAGGTTCCGCTGAAATAGCCTCTCAAGGCTATCAGTTTAGGTAGGAAAAAAAGGCCTTTTTAATTTTTTTGGAAAGAAAGTATTACTAGTGGCCCGGTGGCCCTTTCAGTTTCATCAAGACAGTTGGGCTAGCACGGGCTCAGCCAGGAGATGCGAAATTTGCCAACAGTTGCCCGAGCGCCTTCGAAGGAGACCTACCAGCTTTAGGGCAGTTGCTTTGCTAATGCACCTACTGCCTTATACTTATTGGCAATTTTTACATATTTTTTTAATGCTGTAAATAAGTAAACGAGTTCCCAGGGTCAGCGGGTTATGTGGCCTTTTTTTCCTTACCCTACCTACTGGCTGGTAGCCTAAGAGGTCATTCCAGCTTCGCCCGGATGGGTAGGTGAGCTCACGGGTTCAAACTGAGAGAATTTGCTAACGCTAGGCCTAACAAGAGAGAATCTACTACCGGATCGGAATCGGGACCGACTGAGAAGATCCGGCGAAACTCATTGGGCTGTTTCTATGGGCTAAGTCAGGTATGTAATTGGGAAAGTCAGGTGTGTCATCGACAGCCATCCGCCAGCCCGGTAACGTTATTTCCGTGAGTGAGTGTTACGTGCCTTGTATTCTCCGAGATTTGTTTCGACATGAGTATTGGAATATCTTGTGAAAAAGCGATGGAGGTGTTGCTCAGTTAATTCAACTCCTACTTACCACCGCACACAGTCTCGCACGCATGTGATGATTTGGTGGTCCTAAAAACGGTTCCAAATTAAGCCAAAGTAAGCGGCTTGAATTTATGAGTCACAAGCGAATTTATATCATTCGAATCCTATGCCAATCGATTATTCTTATGAGTAATTTTTTTTTCTCAGCAATACGTAAATAAATTAACTAAATAAACTTTTAATTGTTGGCATTTCAAACTCTTCAAATTATTCCATAATTATCAATTACATTCACACGTTCACACGAATAGCTCTCTTCGTAATGAAATACAGAAAACTGTGAAAGTTTTGTAATAAATTAATATAAACATGACGGATTAGATTATTAAACGCTCGTACCGATTTCGTAAGCAGGAATTTATTAATGACTGTGTAAATTATTAAACTATTATTCATGCATAATATTTAGACACACAAATCTGTCATGGAGTCCACAGAAATGGCAGAATTTGCCTTTTATGTTTCTTTTTGCTATAGAAAAGATAGCTGACGAACTTCTTGATATTAAATGGTTACTGGGACACTAGACACAACAACGCGAAAGTCGCTTAAGACATGAGGTCTCAATTTTATTACGACTATAAATTTTAAGCCCGCAACGCATGATTGTTTCGAGTCAGTACTAGATAGGGTGGTGGCACCTACTAAAACCCGTATGTAATACGATGTACGAACAGTAATTAAGAAAATTATTATTATTGCGAGTTTGATTTTTGATTACACGATATTATTATTTCAATGAGGAAGTTTATTATGAACGGAAGTTTATTTTTTACTGGTGGTAGGACTTCGTGTGAGTCCGCGCGGGTGGGTACCACCACC